CAATCTTATATATATCGTAAACATCAAAACTCTAAAATATAATATTTATACAAGCCTAACACCATAAACTAGGCACATTGTTGGTAAAACTGAAAGCACTACTAGGAAGCCATCAACTGCTAGAACAGTCATTCTCAGAAGATATATAAAACTGCACACGTTCATATGGAATATAGAAATAGCCTAAGAATCGAAATAATAATTAAATAATTATTAATTAAAGAGTAAATTACCAATCTAATTCATGAATTTTGACCCACTTTTCATTTTAGTTCTAAATGTTCTCTTTGCTACAAAAACAGTCCCCAGATTTTTCGATTTTTTTTCAAAGCACGAACTCCATTAAAATTTTAATAGAAAAAATAGATTACTTAAGTATCTGCTTGGCAAAAAGAGAGCTTGTAGCTTATTCAGTAAAAAAAGAAAAATCCATTTTTTCTCATCATCATCTACCTCATCCACCTCATCCATCTTCATCTCCCTCCTTCGGTAATCTCTCTCTCTCTCTCTCTCTCTCTCTCTCTCTCTCTCTCTCTCTCTCTCTCTCTCTCTCTCTCTCTCTCTCTCCAGCATTGACTTTATCCTGCTGTCTTTTTGGTAGCCCAGCGCCTGAACATCAGGCTCAAGCCCCCTCCATGGTAAGCTCTCAACAACTATCATCATCACCCATTACCTTGTGAGGACCATCTCCCATCTAGTTTCCTCAGTAAAACTGAAAAAAGCAAAACACTTCCCATCAAAATTTTACATTCACCTTTTCTTTCTCCATTAAAAAAACTCCTCAAGCCCAAACCTAAACCCTAACTGAAATTCTCTATCATATTGAAGAATATAATCGAGAAATCTTTGGTCACGAACCCAAACCCTAATTGAAACTAAGTGGAGTTACAGGAAGTGAAGCTACAGGAAGTGAGGAAACAAAGCAGCATTAGTGGTCTAGGCCAATTAACTGGAAGAAATTGGAGGCAAGAGAGGTCCACCAAGTTTTTGTCTGATGGTTGCCAGTCAACTCTGCATATCCAACTTCGAGAAGCCTTATTCAAACATGCAGCTGTTGGACTCTCCAGTGCCAGCCCCAAAGCTAGTGTAAACCCAACTAACAACTTCCCTTATTAAGGGCTGCAGCTTCTTTCCTTTACAGGAACAGTCCCCCTGTGTTAAGCAAGTTCTGTCTTTTAAAATTTGGATTTCTGATGATGATTCGGAATTTTCTTTAATTTGGATTAAGATCTGAGAGTGAGAGACACTAAGAGTGATAAACAAGATGATAAGGGGGGAGAGGAGGAAATGAAGACCCAGAGATTGGCTGATTTTCTAATGTTAATTGGATTTTTGTTGAACTTTTTCCTCTGATTTTGAAGCAAAAATGAGTTTTTTTATGATAATTTGGATAATAATGATTTTGATTATGAGGTGGATGACAATCAGGAAAATGAGTTTTTCCATTTTTTACTAAGCTACAAGCGATGAGGTGGATAACAATGAGGAAAAATGAGCTTTTTTTTTTAACTAAGCTACAAGCCATTTTTTTACCAAAAAATCCTCAACTAATTCTATTTTTTCTGTTAGATTTTTAACAGAGTTAATACTTTGCGAAAAAAAATTGAAAAGTTCAGGGACTCTTCCGTAATAAAAAGAATATTTTGGATTAAAATGAAAAACGAACCAGTTAGGGGACTAAATTAGTAA